AAATTATATAATAATATATATTTTTATAACTTGCACGTATTTTAATTAAATTATTAGTTAATTTATTAATTTATATGTAATATATAAGTATATATTTTAATTTATTGTATGAGTAATATTTTCTATATTACATTAATATTATAATGTAGTTAATTTTATGTTTATTTGTTAATTTAAAATAACAAATTAATGAAACAAATAAAATTAAATATTTTGTAATTATTTTTTTAATTTAATAGTTATTATTATTTTCATTATATATATATATATATATATATATATATTGCATTAAGTTTAAATTTATTTATTTTTTAAAACATAATAATTTTCTTTTAATTGATTCAATAAATAGTTATTTATTTTTTTTATCAATTTTATGTGTTTACTATAACTTTATTTGTTGAATATAAGATGTCTTTAAACAAACAAAATATATTTCTAAAATAAAACTAAAATATTTACTATTTATATAATTTTTAAAAAATAAACCAAGAAAAATATAAATATAAATTTTATTAATATAAAATATTTATAATTAATACTTAAAGAATATTTTAAAAATTATTTATAAAATTATATTAATATTATTATAATTCTTTAATAATTATTAATAACATAGATAAAAATTAAAAAAATATATAAACTAATTTGATAATAAAATATTTATATTTTTATTAATATTAAATTTTGTTTTATAACAGATTTTGTTAACAAACTTCAGACCAGGTCAGGTCAGGTCACTTAAACAGGTCAAGCTAGACCTAAAATAAAGTCTTTAACAGATAACAGAGTAAGCTCAAGCCTAATAATTATGTTACAGGCCAGGTCTGTTTAGAGTAAAGTCTAGTCTGGCCTGTCTTGTTTCCATCCCTAGGTCTAATGAATAAGAGAAAACAAGAATTAGTCACTTTTAGGAATGAAAATGCATCAAGCCATTTTACATGAGTCTATAGTTTATTCTTTTTAAAATTTAATTTAACTTGACCTATTTAAGTAATATGTTTAATTTAGACTTTTTTAAAAACTTAATTAATTGATAGGTCAAACTTGAACTTAAAAAAAGAATTATTAAGCATGGTAAAATAGCTTATTCAAGACTTATGAAATATATAATAATATATAAAATAATTTTATATAAAAAATATAATATAATATCATATTAAATTTTAAAATAATAAAATCTTGAATTAGAAACCTTAATTTTTTTGTTAGAGTTGGAAAGTATTCCTACTACAGAAAAAGTGTTGTTTGCTTCTTTTATGTTACTGTTGTTTGATCTATCGTGTACGTACAACACTAATATGCATGTGTTTGTTATATATTTAGTAATTTACTTATTTAAATTACATATGTGGTTTGAAAATGATAGATAAAAATATAATTTATTAAAAATATTTAAGATGTTGAACCATTTTTTAATAGCTTATTTAGATATAAGTTTTATGACATTTATAGATATATACCTATAATAGCCTATTAAAAGTTTCAATATAAAGTAAGCCATTAAAAAAGCTAATAAGCTAAATTATACTTTTAAAAAGGCCATACTAAACTTAATAAACAGCGTATAACAAATAATAAGTTAGGCTTAGAGTTCAAAATTATTTAATAGGTCATGTTTACTTATGCATGTTGCCTAACATAACCTATTTTCATCCATAATCATCTCCACGTGCTTATAAATAAAACATGAAATGTTCAGACTCCACATCTTTTGGTGAGACCTTACCTATCATTCTTTCTCTTTTGTTCTCTTCTATGAGCTATTATTATAGTAGCAAATAAGGATTTTAGTAGGAATGTTCGTGTGAACTTTTATTGAGATGCAATTATCACTGTCACATAAAAAATAATCCTTATTCATATTTTGTGTGTACATTTTATTCTTTGGAACATATATGTTGCAAGAGCAATTGTGAATTGTAAGATATTTCATTGCATTATCTGTGTTTGATTCTTAATAGTGGTATTAAAGACAGTTTTGTGAAAACATTTTGAACACCATGTTTGTTACTATAAGAATTACATGTTTTGGTTTTATACAATATTTTGTTTATTATATTAAAAATAATTTAAAATTAATTCATTTTTGCAAAAATATTTCTTGTTTTAAATAATAATTGTTATAATGATAGCGGTTATATGTTTTACACAAGCAAGCATTTTTAAGACTGATTTATGTGTGTTCTGTTCAAAAATATGCTAATAACTATATTATGTTTATTGTTATAGTAATTTTATTTATGTCTTTCATATATAAACATGTTTGGTACGTGTTACATCATTTTTACTCCTAACATATATGAACATACATACTTATTGTTATATGTTTTTTTGTTTAGAACATACTTCTATGATGGTTGATTGCTATACATGTTCTTTACCTATTTAGCTTATTTTGAGTATCATATGTTTTTATGTTTAATCATATAACTATTATTATAAATGCAATTTATATTGTAGAGCTAAAACAAGAATCCTATACGACATGTAGTGTTCATGCTTAGAGTGTCAATCAGGGTTTAAGAGCTAAAACTCTAGCATCATCATTGTGGTGTGAAAAAAGTTCACAACTTGAATCTTGGGTTCAAAGGGTTTAAAATTCTAGCCATCAAAGAAAGTGAAATATAATATATTTTTAGATTTGATTGTAAATTGTTATTTTGGGCAAGGTTTTGACTAAGGAAAAACTTTGATATTTAAGCGTGTCCATTGTAACTTACCTCTCTTTCATGGAAACCTAGTTTGTGACGATCAAATTTTCAAGATGGGGTGTTGCCTTTTGCCCCTGCCTTACACCGCACAAGGGGTAACTTTCCCTTAACCTCACTTATTGACTGGGCTACAAGACCTCTGTTTATTTACAACCACTGTGTATGCCTATTTGCAAAGTGAATGATTATGGCAATGATGGGTTTTATTTGTTTTTAAAACCTGCGTGTTATGCCTTATCGCTCGAGCAAAAATTTGTAACAGAAATATAGCTGTCTACTGTGTTTTTAGTTTACTAGGGTTGAATGGAAACGAGTGCAGAATTGATCGTGAAGGTGTGCAACTTACTGTGTATGACTAGCTTTCCAAGCCCAAGCTACATGTCGAGAAGGGGAAACCAAATGTCTCCTTAAACTTATTAGCTAACGTTAAGATAGTTATAGAAATGGGCAAGGGCACATTCTCATAAACCAAAAATCAATTAAGGCAAATTTTTCTATAACAACTAGCATGAAGATGAGAAGGGACCAATTTTTTATTTTAAATAAATATTTAAAATTAATATTTTTTATATAAATTAATATATTAATATAAAGTTATTAAATTAAAGTTTAAATGATATTTTGATTTTTATATTTGATTCAGATTTGTAAGTTAGCCTTTGTATGTAAAAAATTTATAAATTAGTTATCTATTCTTAATTTTATCATTATTGTTAAGTTTAAAATAAACAACATTAAATAAGTAAGAGATTAAATTAAAATAAATGTATATATAAGAACTGATTTATAATTTTTTTATATATAGAGACTAACTTATAAATTTAAGTCAAGTATAATGACAAATAAAGAAAATAATGACGTTGTCATTCTCCTTCCCTAACTTTTGTGTTTTTCCACCTCCCAATCCTAGTCTTTCCAATCTTCAATGGAGGCTAAAGTTTCTTTCTCTTTTGACCTCTAATCTACAAAACTCAATCAACTCTTAACAATTCTCGTCAAATTCCCTTTTCTTCTCAATCATTTTACCACTCTCACCCTCACCAACACCATCTTCTTCACCTTCACTTCTAATTCCACTCTCTTCATTCTTCTTCCCTTGCATAAACTTTAATGGAGGCTAGACTCTTTTTATCTCTTAACTTCTCATCCTCAAAACTCAATCAACTTTCAACAATCTTCACTTAATTCACTTCTCTTCTCAACCACTTCACCACCTTCATTTTCACTCTCAGTCACACCTACCTATCCCAAACTTCAATTCCTCATCAAAACTCACTTCATCCTTGAATGCGCCTTTATCGGTGTTGCCAATAGCAGGCACAGTCATTTACATCTTTTTTCACTTCTTTGATAATATCATTAAAAACAAGAGGTAAACCAAAGATGTCTCACAAATTTACAAAAATACTCTTTAAGTCAGATTTGTAAGTCAATTCTTATATATAAAAATTTGTTAATCAGTCCTTGTATGTACATTTATTTCAATTTAGTCCCTTATTTATTGAATGTCATTTACTTTAAACTTAATAGAAGGACTAAATTGAGAATAAATGTACGTATAGGTATTAATTTACAAATTTTTTATATGTAGAAAGTAAGTTATAAATTTGAATCAAGTATAGAAACTAAAATATTATAAAAATCTTAAATTAATAATGTATTTATCACTATAAATCATATATAATTTCTTAATTAAAAATTAAAAAATATCCACACTCCTTTTTTTTTCCTTCAAAAATTCTCTCCTAGGTATACCCTAAAGCATTTTCTTAACGTTTCTTTATTATTCTACCCAATTAAATATCATGTCATCAAGTCATATGACAAGTAAACTTGAAAAGTGTATTTAGAATTCTCCCAACTCCTAATTTTAGAACTTTCATGTAATACAAAAAACTGTAGTGACACCATAGCCTATTGAGATGGCAAAAATGTAATGTCTTTAAAGTTTTTTCATGTTGAAGCCTTAAGAACGAAATAAATTGATGTAAGGAGCGGTTTACTCCCTCCCCTCAGCCCCAAAATGACCAAACTCAATTTAATGTAAATTAGTCAAATTTAATGTGAATCATAAATATTAAGAACCTACATAAAAAAAATAGGATGACAAATCTACATTTTTGCTAGAAGTCATTATACAACAATATTCTGCCATTTTATTACAAATAGGATGTCAAATCTACACTTTTGCGAGAAGTCATTAAACTAAACTAAACTAAAACACATTTTTTATAATTTTTAATAATTTTCAACTAATAATAAAGAATATTTAAAAGAATGTATTAAAAAATATGTTAATAACATTTTTTTAAAAAAAATTGAGTCCCAAACACAAATGACTTCATTGTTGTACTTTGTGATTTCTCTCAAGTCACTCTTTTTATATCCAGTACAATGATTACACTTGTCTTACGCAAATTTCTCACTTCACCTTTTTCTTTAAAAAGGAAGTAGCACGCAGAAAAATCATGTCAACTTCGTCCAACTTGGGTAAGTCGTCATCTTTTTCCATGTTTTTAGAGTTCATAGATATTTGTCGCAGATGCTCCTCAAAATCATCTGTTTCCCCACCGCTTTGATCTGGAAAATTATTAAACTCGTCCAAGTAAAGAGGTTTCTCCTCCTTTACCAAATTCTCTGTATCTGAATCAGACTCAAATATGTCTGATAATTTATCAGAACAAGAATCCAATTCAGAGTCCATATCTGTCTCATCCTCAGTGCACCCAATGTTATCATTTATCATTTCACGATGTTTATCTGAATGCTCTAGCAGCAAATTTGAAACACCACCAGAGACAATACTCTCCATGCTGTTCTGGATTCCCTCATCAGCCTGTGTACTACTCTCAGCTGTATTTTTAAATTGTTCTCGAAGAATTTCAAGCTCTTGCTCAAGTCTGGGAATATATCTCCTAACAACTCGAAGGGCTTCCCTATATTTGGATTTATCCAATGCCTACATAAGATGAGAGTATCCACGGGAGAGACAGTGAGAACCAGCACCACAAGGCACTAATGAGTGTTAAAATAATGTAAAATTATGTATGACTGAGTATAAAATTTGAAAAAGAAATTTTTTTGTGAAACATACAAGTAGCATGAACAAGAGAGATTGCATATACACACCCAAGGACTATAAATGCAAGATTTCATACATTGAAGGGGTTCTGCAAGTGAAGCAATATGTAGGAGAAAGTTTCCAAAAGAGATTAACCCTGGGTAATGAAGACCTGGAACTGAATTGTTGGAGAATTTTTGGAACGCCACATCCAGGAAAACTCCAAATCTATTCTTTATTCATAAATGACTAAAAATGAACCTCACTACACAGTACCTTCTTCCTTGAGAGAGATACTCGTGGAGACATTATCTCTGTTGGTGGTTGAGAGTAGTTTTTCCCTCTGTACATTATTATTGTGTTATCTTCATGAATGCCAAGCACTATACCTCCAGTTAATCTTGCCAGCTCAACAGCAATCTCCTTAACCTCCTCTGCTGAAAATGTCTTCACCACCACTTTCAAAGTCTGATGTTTTTTCCAATGCAGATGCATGTTCAAAATTACACCTTGGTAAATTCCTCGTCTTCCAACTGGCACACAATTTTTGCATTTGAGGCCCATCTTTAAGAAGAAAAAATGCTCTTCTGGAGTCAATATCTCAGGATCATGGGTTGTTTCTGATGATTCTGCAGGCTCAATCTTTTTCAGGGCTTCACAAAGTCTCTCTTCTTTTTTTCGAGCCTAGAATGGTTAGAAAAAACATTGTATGTTCATCAATTGACACAACAGACACAAAATGCAAACCAGCAAAACATGTTTAATTCAAAACAGTGATCAGAAAAATAGATGAAAATGCAAGAGCTTTTTCACTCGAGGAAAGCAAAAAATGGGAAATAAAAGAATTTTTTTCATGCCATGTTAACAGAGAACATAAAATGATGAAAGTGATAAAACATGCCAGCTAATGTAGATAAAATCCCAAAAATGATGGATATTGGAGTGATGGAGCTGAATTTAGTAGAGGCCAATTATGGTTAAACAATAGCAGGGCAAAAATGAATACCATGTCAAATTCTGAGACGACCAGATCTATATGAGTACTTCTTTATATGGAAAACAATTAACAAGTGAGGGCAGCTGATCTATATAAACTTCAAGAATGTAGAATTCTTAAACTTTTAGATCCCTCTATTTAAGATTAGATAATATTAGCTGTCCATAGAAATTTTGACATACAAAATCAAAGAGTTCTTTGATAACTCTTTTAATGGTAATTAATTACAGAATGAACAGCTTGTAGATAGAAATACTAGAGTCAATTTTCATTGAAGGACACAAAATGTCTTGGTCAGTGAAACACAATACTACCATGAAGAGAGGTTTGTCTTGTGTATATTTTACCTATGGACCCAGAAAATTGGTGGCAGAAAAACCCATGACAGAATTGTGACAGGTGGTGGGGGTGCAAGAGATGGAGAGATTTGGTAATCAGTAGAAGAGGAGAGGGAGTATTTAAGGGGCAATATCTTGGTCAGAGTTTTAGATCAACACCAATCATAATAGTCCTATCAAGTTTACCCATTTTAAGGTAATCTATGGTGGGACCCACCCTTGCTGATTGTAATACTAGATTTAGTAAGGATTTCTGTCATATAAGAGAAAAGGGACGTGAAGCCGGATCAGGGAAGTTCAGGGTTCATTAGGCAGATTGGGAGAGGATCAGGGTCGCAAATACCCAGAGGGGTGGTATGTCTCGTATCATCTTCCACCTCTGAATCACTTTAATCAAAGGGAAGTTTACTGAATAAAAACACAATTCTGTTTTCTTTCTAATTTTGTTTCTATTCCTAGTCCAATTATACCACTCCTCATACTACGACACAAGCTCTTTCTCTGCCCTTGTTCTTGGAAGATGAAATGGGTGTCATTAATACCCTAGGTCCATTAAACTAAGTGTAAGCATCTTAAATCTTAAAAATTTCTTGTTAGAGTTATGTAGGAGTAAAATTGAACAAGAATGCAAAATGCAGACTCCTATTCAAACAATTAAATGTCAATTAGAGTCTAGGGTGGAAGAATAATATGGTTAGTAACTTAGAATTAGTGTATAACTAGTATTCAGTAGGGAATTACAACTTAATTCTATTAATAAAAGAATAACTGCTTGTATTCAGTAATAAAGGGGTATTAGGTAGAGATAGTTGAGAACTGAGAAGGAAATTGGGAGGGAGAATCCATGTCTCTCAAATAACCTGGCATGGGAGAGAATTCTCAGTACAGCATATCCATATGTATCAAACAGATGCTTGGGTAGGATTGATTCTACCATTTTTATTTAACTAGTTGAATTTGAGTATGCATAGTGCACGCCAGATTCCAATATTGAATACAAAGAACAATAAATTTACTTTGTTCTTCACTGACACCAATAATTGTTCAAAACAAGCAATTCTATCTCAAAAATCTTGGAAGAAATTTGCTTGGCAGACTACTAGAATTCCAGTTGACTTCTTAAACAGCGGGCTTTTGCATACATAATCATGAAGAAACACTATTGTATTGCATGACTCAAGTTTCCAACAACAATACATTTATTTCCATCGAAAACTTCACTATTTTAAGAAACACATAAGACTGTAAATATTAGTTGACTGATCACTATTATTTCGAGAAAGAACCCTAGTCTTGATGCTAAAACCTAAATATAAGCCATATATATTATGAAAAATACTAATAAGAAAAACAAATGTATTAGCTACTATCTAGATATAACAAGCATGGAGAGGGAAGGGGGAAAAAGGAAAGAATCAGCAGAATCATACTATTTCAAGACAATAGAAAGGGACAATATACATAGGTTAAAAAAATAGAACTTACCTTCAACAATTTGAATAGAAGTTTTTCCTCAGCTGTCATCCTTTCATACTCTTTCTTTTTCTTCCATCTAAAGAACTTTAGCCATCTTATAACCGCTCTTTTCCCTTTTAGTTTTTTCCTCTTCACTTTGGCATTCGTAGCACTGGGGGCTTCTTCAGAATCCAGAAGTTGTTGCTCTACAACCTTATCATTAGTCTTTAGAAATGGACCTGAATAAAATCTTATGTGCCCCAAGGAAGGAGGTGCTTTTGCATCATAGAGGTGTCCAAAGCTACGTTCTTGGCCACAAACCTTGCATATGACATAATTCAAGCTACAGCAGTGTAAGTCAATATTGAAGCAAGCATTTGTTTCCATATTTTTTGCTTCAAATATTAAAATGTTTAGTAGCACACGGGAAACTGACGCATCTAATTTACTACTCCTAGAAATGCGAAAAGCACTATGAAATCATGGAAACATAACTATTCAAGCACAGGAAAGAAAGAGATAATTATTCTAACTTGACACAAGAAGCACGATAAGCTCCTGCATTAAGTCCTTGGCTCCTACAATAAACACAAATCACAAACAAATCATAAACAGGTGCTGAAGAAAAGTATGAAACAAGAACAAAACCAACAGTTTCTATAAATCACTACCCTAATCACACTTACCACTCTAGTTCATAAAACTAGGCAAATTGCACTATATATTAAACATTAATCATAGAACATTATACATATATATATATATACTGATCGAAGAAAGCAGGTATTAATCAAAACCTTGAATTACCTGAGACGGAGAAAAGCTCGAAGAAGAGCCCACATGGTGAGAGCAGAGCAGAACAGAGAAGGAGAAATGAAGAGAGAGAGAGAGAGAGAGAGAGAGAGAGAGTGATATTTGTAACGGGAAATGAACAAGGCGCAAGCTTAAACCCTAGAAACCCTCTCCATGGAATTACTTCAAATAATCGTAGAAACATACTTTAGTTCCGACTTTTATAAAAATAAAATAAAATAAAATTATCCATAAAGTTCAAATTTTATTTCCAGACTGTACAAAGAACCAGAACTTAAAATTGCAATTCAATAGTCAATACTAGTACTCGTAAATGAAGAAAATTTTTAATTAAAAAAAAAAAAAAAAAGATTGTGTTCCTTCCTGAAATGCTTCATTAGTTGTGTACATATTATTTAGGTGGAGACTAGGAGGAGTCAAGAAATAAATTGTATTTATAAGAGTAAATTTATTTAAAAAATTAATGAACAGCTATAATTTATTATTGTTGCTTAACAATATAAGTTTTTGTTATTTTGCGATTTGATTCTTAAATAAAAATTGTAATATGTGTAGTTATATTTTTAAAAAAGAATGTAAAAAGCTAGCTTCCTTTTGACGATTCTAATGTGGATGAGACTTTGCATAAATGGCATCTGCGGGCAAACAATTCATTGCTATTAAGATGATTTTAGGGGTAGGTTTACCGTCGAAATTTGAGAAAAGAGGGAGCGAGAGAGAAGATTGAGGAATTGGGAGAAGGAAAGCTTAGACATGCCGAATGTGTGAAATCATTGGGAATCAGAGACAGCAGAATCAGCAACCATGTTGTAGCAAAAGAGAGAAAAGATTGTGGAGAGAGAAGAGGAAGTTGAAGAAATTAGGTTTTGAGAGTGAGAGATTGGGAATGGAGAAAAACAGGAAAAATAAGAATTAGGCTTAAGCAATTTTTGCATAACAGAAATAAAGATTTGAAAAATAAAGTTTATACAAAATTTGTTTTGCTTAAACTCTAAGCAACTTCAAAATGTGCTTTAATTCTAATCATATATGTTCTGGTCCTTTCAATTATAATTCCAAAAATTCAAGCAAAAAAGTGAAGTTAGAAATTATTCACCAAATGGCTCTAGGAGTACTAGTGCCCTCTCCAATTCGAGAAATGAATTTGATTCAACCACAACACTTATTCAGAAGTAACACAAACGCCACATGGATGCAGTTTTGTTTCTTCATGAAAGTAAACGTGTAATGCTAGACCTGGACCACTTAAAGCGACATTGTTTTCATGTCACATGCCCCGTTATTTCTCAATTCCACACTTTATATCAATGAATTGTCATCTTTTGCCGGGAGAGCAATTTATGTGATTAAATGATGAATATTGTATTTAAAGAATACATAAAGAAAAGAAACTCAGAAGAGGAATATCTTCTCTGCCAAGAGCCAAGCTCCTAATAAGGACAAACAATAAAAGTAATAACAAAATATCTCTTCCCATAAATCATGATTCTCTATATAACTAAATATTCTATCTTCTTCCTCTAACCTCCTCTAACAATTCCAAAAAATTTTCATGCTTTGTTAGCATTCTTCTTCTTCCTACGCTCATACACAATTCACGATTTTGGGCCCTTTTTTTTCATGGGCCAGTGGTTCTAGTGACCCATGGTGAACTTAGGCCTTATCATTACTTCCTCCTATAATATTAGTCTTGTCCTCAAGACTGAGCTTAGGAAACTAACTTCTCAAGGTAAGTTCATCCTCCTATGAAGCTTCCTCTACTGCCTTTCCCTTCCACTTAACTAGCCATTGGTTGGTTCGTTCTTCCCCTTTCAACAAGCTACGTGATGCCAATACTGTTTCAGGCTCCAATAATTCAGCTCTCTCATCTTCCAAACTAGAAAGAATAGTGGTCTCTGCCTTGTAATCTCCAATTGCCTTTTTTAATAGTGACATATGGAACACAGGGTGAATCCTTGCCTCTGGAGGTAATTTCAAACGATAAGCTATTGTCCTAATCCTCTCCAATACATCAAAAGGTCTATAATAATGAGCAATGAGCTTGGGACTTATTCTAGCTGCTACTGAATATTGTCTATGCTATTTGAGCTTCAAAAATACCATGTCACCTTCCACAAAATACCTCTCTTGTCTGTGTTTATCTGCCTGTGTCTCCATTTAATTTTGGGCCCTGATCAAGTGCTTTTTTAACTGTCTAAGAGCCTCATCACACTCATTGATTTCCCTCTACACTGATTCCATTCTGATTTCACCTTGAATCCCTCTCACCAACATAGAAGGAGCACGGCCATACACCGCTTCAAATGGAGTATTCCCATAGACGCATGATAAGTTGTATTAAACCAATATTCAGCCTAAGAAAGCCATAAAGCCCATCCCTTGGGCTGATCAGTAATGAAACACTTGAGATATGTCTCTAAGCAACGGTTTGTTACCTCTGTTTGTCCATCCGTTTGCAGATGGTATACAGTACTTATGAGCAGTTTCTTACCTTGCATCTTGAAAAATTCTTTCCAAAAAAAAGACTCATAAACAAAGGGCCCGTATCACTAATCACCGAGTTGGGCACCCCATGAAGTCTTACCACTTTCTTAACAAATACTTCTGCTATTGTTTTTGCTGTGTATGGATGTTTCAAAGCAATGAAATGGCTATATTTGGATAAACAATCCACAACAACCAATATTGCTTCAAAGCCCTTTGACCTTGGCAATCCTGTGATAAAATTGAGAGAAATATCCTCCCAAATTCTCTCCAAAATGACAACAGTTGCAGCAAGCCTCCTAGGGCAGTAGTAGTGTACTTTTGACGTTGGCAGTTATCACAAGATTGCACATACTTCGTGATATCAGTCTTCATTCCTTGTCAATGTAGATTTACAACCACACATCTATATGTTCTTAGAAATTCGAAGTGGCCTCCTTAAGGAGTTGAGTGAAACTCATCAAGTAATTTAGAAATCCAAGAAGATTTTGCAGGAATCACGATTCGATTCATAAAAAATAGAATATCATGCTGATAAGTGAATCTTAGATGACCTCACTATCTTGCTACAAGTCTTCAATCATCGTCTTCCATTTTCATCCTTGTGAACCTCTTCTATGACATTTTGGCAATCAAGCCAGATTGGCATGGACATCATAGTCTTCAACTCACCTTCTTTAAAGCTGTGTTCACTCCTTTGTTTTCCAAGCCAGGTTTATAGACAATCTCGAAGTTATACTCCAATAATTTAGCCAACCAGTTCTGTTGACTCCCATTTGTGATTCTTTGCTAAAGTAATTGTTTCAAGCTTCTCTTATATGAATAGACTTTAAATTTGCGTCCCATTAAATATGGCCTCCAGTGTGAAATTGACAAAGCCACGACCATTAATTCCTTTTCATAAGCAGACTTGGTTACATTCCTACTACCCAAGGCTTTACTGAAAAAAGCTATGGGTCTACATTCTTGCATCAGGATGGCCCCAATACCTACCCCTGACGCATCACACTCAAGTTCAAACTCTCTCTCAAAATTGGGTAGAGCTAAAACTGGAGCTGTGGTAATCTTCTGCTTCAACACTTCAAATGCTTGTTGCACCCTTTCATTCCACATAAATCCCTCCTTCTTAGTTAATTCTATAAGAAGTTTTGCGATTTTTTCATAATTCCTAACGAACTTACAATAGTAACCCGTAAGTCCTAAGAATCCCTTTACTCCCTTCACATTCTTTGGAGTTGGCCATTCCATTATGCTTTTGACTTTGGCGGGATCAAACTCAACTCCCTGCACGGATATCACATGCCCCAAGTATTCTACACTCTCCTGAACAAAGCTACATTTTTCCTTGTTTGCATATAGTTTTTGTTGTCTTAAAATTCCCAGAACTGTCCTCAATTGAGCCAAATGTTCCTCGCAACTCGCATTATAAACGAGTATATCATCAAAAAACATCAATACTCCTCTTCTAAGTAAATTACAAAATGCTTCATTCATTAACGCCTGAAACATAGATGGGGCATTCATGAGCCCAAAAGGCATTACGAGATATTCGTAATGTCCTTGATGGATTCTAAATGTTGTCTTTGAGATGTCCTCCTCCTTCATTCAAACCTGATGGTAGCCGCATTTGATGTTTAGCTTGAAAAAAACTTTGCTCCATATGATTCATCCAATAATTCCTCTATTACAGGGATAGGGAACTTATCCAGAATTGTGGCTTTATTAAAGGCCCTATAATCCATACACATCCTCCATTTATTGTCGTTCTTTTTTACCAAAATCACAGGACTAGAATAAGCATTGTGGTTGTGCCTTATTTGTCCAATTTTCATTAACTTTTGGACTTGTTTCTCTATTTCATTCTTCTAGTGGTAGGGGTAGCGATATGGCCTAACATTTATGGGCTCTTATCCTGACCTTAGTATGATTTGATGCTACTTTGAACGTATTGGAGGCAAACCTCTTAATTAAGCAAACACATCCTCAAAACCCTTCAATACTGCTTCTAACTGACCAAATTGTTTCCTCGACAGCATTTTGTTTTGAATTTCCACGTTATCTCCAAGTATTTCTTGGAGAGATGCTACTAATGATTCTTCACAATTCACCCCTTTCAACATTTTAGTGCCCTAGTCTGTGGAAATCCTCAGTCTGTTTTTCCCAATTGACCATCATTTCGCCCAGTGAAGCTAACCATGTCATACCCAATATCATGTCAATATCTTTCAAATCAAATAGCACTGCGTCCACCTTAAATTTCTCACCATCGACTTCAATTTTGATTCCACGACAAACTCCTTCAGTTTCAGCCTTATAACCATCACCCATCAAAATACGCATGCTCTTGGTAGAATGCCAATCCCATCACATAGCCTTTACCAAACGCTTCGAAATGAAATTGTGAGTTGCTTTACTATCCACAAGTAAGAAAAGAGGTAGTTCGTTAACTTTTCCTTTCAGCTTGAGTGTTTGTGAGGGTTTCCGTCGTTCTAGGCTCAAATCAAAGAGACTAATAATACTACATTCCCCCCTCGCCTTCTTCCTCCTCATCCTCGTAAGCTCCTTCAACCACGTATTTCTCTTCCTTACACTCCATAAGTAATTCATTGTCCATTATGATAACCCTTAATTGTTTAATAGGGCATTAGTGCATTAGGCCATAAGTGCCCCCACATTTAAAGCAAAGGCACTTTTGCCTTCTATTTAATAGTTCTTGATAAGCCATATGTTTGGCCCCTTTGTTTATGAGGCCCCTGTCTATTTTTATCCCCTACGTCATTTCTAGAATTTGGGTCTGGCCCGTTTACTTCTCCAC